AAATGGGTCATAGACCTAAATGTAAAAGCATGGATCTATATAAAACTTTTGGAAGAAAACAGAAGTAAATCTTTTTGACCTTGGGTTAGGCAAGGATTTCTTAGATATAACATCAAAAGCACAATTCATAAAAGAACAAGTTGACTAATTGGACTTGGTTAAAATTTTTAAATTTCTACTCCTTAAAAGACACTCATGATAATGGAAAGACAAGACAGACTGTGAAAAAAATCTCTGCAAAACATATCTGGTTAAAGACTTGTACCTAGAATATATATTCTCAAAACTCAAAAATAAGATAACAAAAAAAACCCAAAACAAAACTGAGCAAAAGATTTGGACAGACAACTTGAGCTATAGGGATGGCAAATAAGCATAAGAAAAAATGCTAAGCTTTGTTAATCATTAGGAAAATACAAATTAAAACCACAAGATAATAGCACTTCGCTAACAGAATGGCCAAAATTACAAAGACTTGTCATACCAAGTGTTGATGATGATGTGGAGAAACTAAAACTCTTGTGAAATTATCATAATAATGTCAGTATTGCGGCCACTTCAGAAAACAATTTGGCAGTTTCTTAAGAAGTTGAAAATACAGTGATCTTGTGATCCACCCCACTCAAGAAAAATTAATTTGTAACCATGTAAAAACATATACACAAATGTTTACAGAAACTTTATTTGTAATAGCCAAAAATAGGAAACAGCTCAACTGTCCATCAACAAGTAAACAGATAAACAGACAATAGCATATCCAAAAAATGGAATACTACTCAGCAATAAAAAAGAATGGACCAATGCTACATATACCAACATAGATGAATCTTAAAATTACCATGCAAAATGAAATTAAGTCAGCCAATAAAGGAGTACATACTATATGATTTAAACTGTAGAAAATTCAAAACTAAACTATAGTGACAGGAGATTCGTGCTTGGAGACAGGGAATGAGGAGGTGTGGGAGGGAGGGATTACAAAAGCACAAGTGAAAACTTTTGGAGGTGATAGATATTTCCACTATAGATTATAGTGATGATTTCATAGGTGTATACACATACAAAAATGATATACTTTAAACATATGCAGGTTATTATAAACCTTATATGTATACTTTAGTAAAGTTTATATACATATAAGTTTTATCTGTATAATTGAAAATATAATAAACCACATATAAAACTTTTTTTTAATTTGGCCCCAGAACTGAAACTGTCACTTCCTGTCATGTTTCATTGGCCATTGAAAGCCCTATGTCCTCACCTAACTCCAGAGGGGGCAGGAAAGTGCATTCTTACCACATGCCTGGAAGGAGAGAGTTGAATATTTGTGTATAATCCTAACGAGTACCACCCTCAGCAGTAAGCATACTGGATGTTTATAAATGGAACACTGGTCCCATTTGTTCCGTAACAGAATTCACATTCATTTGTAGAACCACTGAACAACAGCAGACTTAGCAGCTCTTACTCAAAAGTCCTGCAAAGATTCAGCTGTTCTGCTTACAACAGTGAGGAACACACATTCAGTCAAATTAGCCATGCAACCCCGACCCTTCCCTACTAATTTTGAAATCAGTGCTTCCTAGAATCTAGAAAAATAAATAGAACTAGGAGAAAACGTGAACAGCCATTTGGTCTAGCTTCTGGCTCCTAACCAGTTAAGTTTAATGTCAATTGTAGAAGAAAGACAGAGGGTCAGAGATTCCATAATGACAAATTCCTTTTCCTGCACTTACTCTCTTCATCATCAAGAAATTGTTTCTCATACCCAACTAAAATAAGTTTTTTTTAATTTAAACTGATTTCCTTTTGTTCTGTCCTTATCAGTCACTCTAATGAATTGGTCAAAAATATTAAAGCAAAAGTGCTATATCACAGGAAAAGGTTGGCATCCTTAACTACAAAAAACACTTGCACGTCACTGTGTAAAAAAAGACAAACATTTTACTTTGTTTAGCAACATGGCAGATTGTGTGAATACGGCCCCTACCTCACGCCTGGCAGGCCTATCAAAGAACATGTAGGAATGCTCTGTCGACTGTATATACATCTTAATTAAAAATGGCCTAAAGACACAGGCAATTCACAAAATAAAAATATATATGAACAATAAACACACAAGGTGTAGTTTATTATTCAAAGAAGTAATTTAAATCAAAATAGCAATGAGATGCCATTTCAGCTGTAAAATTGGCGAATATTTTTAAAACTGAAGATGCCCATCACGATCGAGGGTATCCAAACCTGTATTTACAGTAGGATAATCAATTGGTACAAACTTGTGTGAGGATAGTGGGGTTGCGCATGTTGCAGATTTTCTTCTTTTTGATAATGCCTAGATTCTATGTTTTCTACAATAAACATGTACTACTTTTATAACAAAATATTTATTTTTAATTGAAAGCAATATTGCTGTTTTAAAGTTCTCTCTCATCCTTTTCTTAATTGTTGTTGATTTACTGTGTTAGTTTCTGGTATGCAGCATACTTGTTCAGTTACGCATATATATTCTTTTTCATTATAGGTTATTACAAGGTATTGAATATAGTTCCCTATGCTGTACAGTAGGACCTTGTTGTTTATCTATTTTATGTATAGTAGTTTGTATCTGCAAATCCCAAGCTCCTCTTCCCCTTCTCCTTTGGCAACCACAAGTTTTTTGTTTTCTATGTCTGTGAGTCTGTTTCTGTTTTGTAGATAGATTCATCTGTATTATTTTTTAGATTCCACATATAGGTGATATATATATATGTGTTTATTTGTCTTTCTCTGTCTGACTTACTTCACTTAATATAATGAACTGTAGGTCCATCCATGTTGCTGCCAATGGCATTATTTCATGCCCGGGTGGTATTCCATTGCATGTATATACCACATCTTCTTTATCCAGTCATCTGTCAAAGGACATTTCGGTTGGTCCCATATCTGGCTATTGTAAATAGTGCCACTGTGAACACTGGGGTGCATGTATCTTTTTGAATTAGAGCTTCCTCTGGGTATATGCCCAGGAGTGGGATTGCTGGATCATATGGTAAGTCTATTTTTAGTTTTTTAAAGGGCTCTCCATACTGTTTTCTGTAGTGGCTGCACCAAATTACATCCCCACCAACAGTGTAGGCAGGCTCCCTTTTCTCCACAGCCTCTGCAGCATTTATCGTTCGTGGACTTTTGAACGATGGCCATTCTGACTGGTGTGACATACCTCACTGTCGTTCCAATTTGCGCTTGTCTGATGATTAGCGGTATTGAGCATCTTTTCGTGGGCCTGCTGGCCATCTGTGTGTCTTCACAGGAGCAACTTCTATTTAGGCCTTCTGCCCATTTTTGTCTTATCCTTCTCTTCTCCATGCTCACCAGCTCCAACCTCTTTCACCTTTCCTTACAAGGCCTATTTTCATTCTGAAATCAAATTCATCAAGGTTTTTCAGGACAGGACTTCATTCATTTTTTTCTAAGTCTCCTTAATTCAATTGCTCTTACTTTCTAAATTATCCTACCAACACAGATTTGAATTTTTTAAATGCTTTTTTGCTTTCTTCTTTAAATAATCACATTATATTTGCATTGCATTTCGCCTAAAGCATTCATTAGCCAGCTTGACGTTTAAAAAATGTTCCTACTAACTGTGTTCTTTTGTCCAAAAATAATTAGACTTATTAAGTACCTTCTGTGTGCTCTGGTACTGTCCCTACATGTCACAGCAGAGATGTATGGGCATCAGTGTGTGTGGGTAGACACACATATACGTGTGTGTCCATTTGTACAAAACACGTGCCAGTCACTGGGCTTAGAGCCTTGTCAGCTTTACCTCACTGAGTCCTCACAACAATCTTATGAGATCATTGTTTTATTTCTGTTTTTCAGATAAGCTTAGAGAGGGGCTGGAACATGCCAGAGAACAGCTGGTGAGAGTAGGAACTCAGCCTTGCAAGTGGCACCTGGGAAGGGAAGCCAGTTTACGCAAGGAAGTAAAACCATGGGCAGCAGCCTATAAGAAATGCCACGAATGTGATTGAAAAATAAAGAATTTTCTGGACTTTCACTGATTTCAATCATTCTGTCCCACCCAACAGGCTTCCTGGGTGTGTGAACAGAGCGGTGGCTCAGAAGCCCAGGTTCGGAGGGACCCTGCAGGCACTTGGAGTTTAATGCTCCGCAGTTGACAATGTGAAATTCTACATAACAAGTGAAGTCTGATCAACACTGGAGCAGGTGCCAAGGCCTTGGAGACTTCAGCTCATGCACGGTCTGCCTGCTGTCAACCCCCCACCTCCTGGCAGCCGGCCCTCCGTTCCTGGCACCCAGGGCCCCTGCCCAGCCTCACCCTCTCCGTGACTGCCCTTCCCACTGAGGGGCGTTTCCATCTTCTGCTGTCGCCCTCTGCCTACAGTGGGGCCCTCAGCGCAGGTCCGCAGAGTGTTGGGGTCGGGCACACACATCCCAGGTCCCACGTGGCAAGGCACGAGTGGCAGCAGCTGTCTCTGCTAGGGTTGGCAACATGACAGATGTTTGGGGGGTGACTTGCTGGGGACAGGCCTCTTGCCCACCCCCAATCTAGGTATAAGCATGTCCTGGTGCTGAGGTTGGAGTCCTTTTCAGGCCCCACCATCTGTTGCAGGGTCTGCAGCTGGAGGGAGGGGGTCCAGGTGCCTGTGAGGACCTGCACTTGTCCTGTGAGTGTCCCCTGTCCAAGGGAGAATTATATTAAATTGCAAATTTAAAAATACCAGTTAACACGTCCAGAGAGTGCGGGGTGGGGGGAGAAAGAAAAAGCTTTATATAGTACCTCTCATGGCACTTTTTTCCTGCTTTTTGAACAAGGGGCTTGCATTTTCATTTTGTCCTGGGCGGGAAGACCCTGTAGCAACGTCCTACTGCCCCGTGGTCACACCATATGTCCTTGTAGCTTCAGGTGGTCAGAGGAGGAACAGTTTACTCTAGGAGGAAGGGTGAATTATTATTTGCTTACTCCACCCTTATTTACCTTTGTCTTCAAGGCGTTTGTACAGAGTCCTGAGGCTTGCTGTTCCTGCTGTGGGAAGTTGGAAGACTAGAGCTCGGGCTGGCCGGCTGACCAGAGGAGAAGGGCTGTGTATTAAATGGATGACAGCATGCAAAGCTGAGCCGCCCCAGGGTGTGTTCGTCTCAGCTTTGCTGAAAGCCACATTCTGCAGGTATGTCTCTGGTGAAAAGAGGTTCCTCCTTTTGAAGGTTCCAGCTTGAGTGCCAAAGGAGTCTCTGAATACCGCTTCGGGTCTTTGCTCATTCCTGCAGAGACTGGCCTGGTGCACTGGAAAACACAATTTGGTACCAACGCTGTGGTGACACTCAGTCAACAGGGTCATCTCCACAGAGACAGGACTGGATGGGTAGTTCTCACAACCACAGTGGGGGATGTGCCTGGAGAAGGCACTCAGGCAAGTTTGATTTCCTCACAGAAAAAAAATGTAGTTAGGTAGCTCCGTGCCTGGGGCTTGGTCTTAAGTCTCTTTTAATGACCATAAATGCCATATTCAAGTCAGCTATAAAGTATATCATTGTACACTGTCCAGTAATAAACTTTCGAAATGTAAATCAATTAGTCAGATAATAAAGAAATAGATCCTATAAATTTTTAGTTAACTCTGTTAAATTGTTTAGGAGATTGCTCAGGAAGGGGGCTTGTGCAAGGGTGGGAAGTGTGAGGGTAGAGGGTCTGGAAAGGGCAGACGATCTATGGGCAGAAAGGGGAGGAGCCGGGGGACAGTAAGTTTCAGGGGGTGCCTGGCATTACCTCACAACCGTGTGTCTCTGACAAAGAGCCCCCAGGAGAAATTGCTGAAGGGTAAGCTGCTCTACCTGTATCATTTTTTTTTATTATTAGTTACTAAGGATGAGCATTTATGTCCCTGAAATAAGAAATATCAAATATGTTTACATGCCAGACACAGACGAGACGTGGAATTGCTCCCTTACCTGCCTCAGATCCATGCTTCACTGGGTGAATCAACCAGACATACAGTGACAAACCGACCCAATCCATCTACTCAGTCTACCCAGGACTTAGATTTCTCCCCCTACCCTTGTTTTTTCCCATCATTTCTAGCCATTTTTACTTTTTTTTTTTTAACCAAATTGTGTTCTTGATAAAGGAGTCAGAGAGCAAAGTGAAGAAAATGGGGTTATCTAATTTGCCTTTATCTGCCTCTCTCTTTGCCCCACCAGCAAGTAAAGTAACACATATTAGCATTCCTTTTCCTCTGCTCCTCGTCTACCAGTCTGAGGTTCCTGTGAACCCCACCTTTGCGCCTCTGACTGTGTGGAATTCACTGTGTCTTGAATGCAGAGAGCTCTATGGTCAAAAAGTAGAGGCAGAAGATAGGAGTCCCAGGGCAAAAGTCCCAAGGCTGTTCTCTGGGCCACCCGTCTCCCTGGCCACCCAGTCTGGGGAGGGCTCAAGGCTGTTTATGAGGCCAGGTCTGGAAGGGGGTGCGCATCACTTCCGCTCCACTCCCACTGGCCGTAATTCAGTCACTTAGCCAACTTAACTACAAGCTGGTATGTCTACACTCCTGGAAATAGTGTGATGGATCTGTGACACTGGCTCCGCCTGGGTGCCAGAGAACCCAGGAAAAGAGCAGAAATTGGAAGCACAACACTTTGGAAGCCCAGGGTGGTGGGTGGGGCTCAAAATTGGAGGAGTTGCTAAAAGTTTCATAAGATACGGTTGGACCCGGTGCAGCCAGGCACTTTTCCCCTCTCCCAGCCTAGACGAAAACGGGAGGTTTACCTTTGGAAGTGAACAGAGAGGCTCTGGACTTGGAAATACAGGCATAGCTATGTGAGGGAGGTGAGGAACCCTATGGAAAACTGTGATATTAAGTTCAAGCCTAATGGCTGGGACTTGATACTCCCCAGCCTCCTTCTCTCAGTCAGTCCCAGGACGCTGACAGTGACACTTGAACTTCCCAGGCAGGATTCCTCTCTGAAGAAAGCAAACAGCCTAAGAGAAAAGACTTATAGATTCTTCTAGTGAAATAGCTGGGCTCTGACCATTATTCACACTAAGTGAGCCCCACTAAGTCACAGAGAACTTCCAACGAGCTTTCTCGTGCCTCACTTTTATGAACTTATGAACAAGGAGAGACCCAAATATTACCAGGTAGATAAAGTGAGCTCCTAACGTGAACAATGAAGTCCAAAACAAACAAAAAGAAAATGAACCCAGATCTAAAGAGCAGAAGAAACAGGGGGAAAGCCACTATTAAGTAATATCTTCAGAGAGATGTGAGACCATATTGCAAAGCAGGAGATGCTAGAGAAAAGGCATGTCCCCGTGACAAAAAAGAGCTTTTGAAAATTAAAAATATGATAGACAAAGTTAAGAATCCACTAGAATAGGTGAAAGATAAATCTGAAGAAATCGCCAGAAAAGCAGAACAAAGAGCAAAGAGAGGAAAATTGGAGTGAATAAAATTACAGGATTAATTTAGGAGTTTCATTATCTCACTAATTGGAGTTCCAGAAAAATGAGAAAATGGATAGAAGAAGTTATTAAAGAATTTCCCAGAACCAAGGTCATGAGTTGCCATATTGAAAGGGCCCACTGGGCACTCAACACAATGAAGGAGAGGAGACTTGCACTAATGCATATGACCATAAAACCTCAGAACACCAAGGATGAAAAGAAGGGCCAGAGAAATTATAGAGAGAACAGTCAAGTCAAAACAGAAGCTGGAAGACTGTGGATCAAGGCCTTCAAAATTCTGAGGGGAAATGATTTCTAATTTAGAAGTCTATACTTGGCCAGACTATTATTCAAATAGGAAGAGTAACCACAGCTAACTCTTAAATGGTTTAAGAAAAAAAGGCATATTCAAATTAGAGAAAAGACATGAGAAATCAAGCAAAGCAGAAGTGTTAACCATTGGTGAATTGGTAAAGGGTACTAAGGAGGTGTTAGCAATACTCTTCCAAGTCTTTAAGTTTGGAAAAAAAAAAACGAGAGGAGAATAAAGGAATTTTTAGGTGTGTAAATTCTCCAAAGTTTATCTCCATGTCTACTGTCTTACTAAATCACTGTAGTATGAGGTGTGTTCCATGCAAACAAAGAAGTGGACAAAGTGTAACCATGCGATCAAAAAAACAGAATCCAACATAGAAGAGAAGTGAAGGGTAATCCTGGAATGACAGTTGCCTAGTCGGTCTAGAGAGTAAACAGTCTAACCTGGAGCAGGAGGACCAAGACAGAAGGTTTATTTCCAATAAAACATGCAATTGACAGATTAGCCATTTGTCTAGTTTGATCGTTCAGACAGAGATTCCGGGAATGAATAAGTGGACAGGGCCCTAGAAAATAGAACAAACCCAAATTTGAGTTAATTATTAACTCCAGGAAAAATGAACAATTGCCCAAGAAAGGAAATATAAATGATGTGATTCAGTCCATGAACAAGATTTATATGGACATATTAATATAAAAATGAATATATATTATAATCCCATTGGGAATGAAGGGAGGGAAATGGTGTGTGAATGGAGGATATAAAAGTGATCATTCCTCATCTTCTGTGGTAAGAAATCAATAGATAATGTATTAAGTGGAAACATCAAGAAGAGCAGTAGAAACCTGTTATTTGGAAATAGATAAACATGAGAAAAAATGCTTACTAGTACTGAAGGCAGTTACCTCTGAGGGTATCGAAGGTAGTGGGGATCAAGTGGATATGAATAAGCCTGCTTTTTTATGAGTAGGGTTTGTCTGGGACAGTCTCCACTTTATCCCTGATAGTCGGGTATCATTTTGTTACCACTGCCCCTTTCACTCTCAAAATTGTCCCAATTTTGAAGTCTTGAAGCATTATTTGATATGGGTAATATAATATTAAAGAAAATAAAATAAAATAAAAAGAGAGGGCTCTTTGGACCCTAAATTAAATAACCTCTTTTCATCCAGCTCAACCAAAAACATTGATTTTTCTTTTCCTCTAAAATTAATTATTTTAAACTGAATACAAGCAGTATGTCTGTTTCGCGATCACAGCAGGGGACATTCCTGGATAAGGCACTCCCGCAAGTCTGATTTTCTCACAGGAAAAAAAAAATGTGGTTAGATAGCTGCTATATTCATTACCTCATTTAATTCTTACAACGGCTTCGTGAGGGTAAACATCCAACCCCATTTTATAGGTGATAAAAATGAGGTTCAGGGAGGTTTTGTGACTTCTTAACAAGGTGACGCAGCTGGTAAGATACTAGCCTACACTGGACCAGGCACTCTAATTATGGTTCCCTTGCTTTTGCCTCCGTATCAAACGATAAGGCATCTCAGCCATCCCATGAATGAACAGAATCTGAGATGTGAACTTGAGAGCCCAGGTTAACAGCCTTGTCGTTAGAAAAACAGATTATGAAAAACAATAAATAATTTAAACATCCTTTTGTCTTCCTGGTCTTTGAACAGAAATTCTAATTAATCTGCCCAGTTAGGCATAGCGGAAACTGAAGTCATCCTCCTGGGAGGACAGCCCGCACCTCCCTCGGAGGCCCGGAGGATGAAGCCCTGCTGTTAAAGCTCCAGACCAGGGAAGCCGTCCTAGTGGTTGTTTTATTTTTTAAAACACATCTTTAAACAACAAAAGCAATATATGATTATTTTGGAAAAAGAATAGAGATAAAGCACAAGAGAAAAAAATTTAAATCATCGAAATCTCATCACCTAAAGATGCATACGGTTAATATTTTAGTGTATTTTTCTAATACACTCCCTTTTTCTAATACAAATACAAAAATAGGATCCTAGCATACGAACTTCTCAGTTACCTGTTTTTTCCCCCAAGCACTGTATTTGGGACACAGTTTCATGTCCATAACCTTGTGTCTCTTTCTTTTTAATAGCTGCCTAATAGTTCATCATTTTAATGACTATATTTGACCAATCCTCTGTTGCAAGGCATTTGGGTTTTCTCTGTCTCTCTCTCTCTCTTATTAACTTTACAGCAAAAACAAAACTCTGCACATGCATCTTTGTCACACATTCTGTCATTTCCTCAAGGTACATCCCCTAAAGTGAGATCACTGTGCCAAGAGCATACATTTCAGGAGGCCTTCTAACTCACATTGTAAATTGCTCTCCTGAAATATTGTACATTCCCATCAATGGAGGATATAAAAGTCCATACCCCTATGTCCCATGATCTTTCATCAGCGCTCTTATCCTTCCTAAGAATTTAACCTTGAGGAAACAAGGCCAGGGTGTCGGGATGAGAAGCAGTTGAAACAAATAAGAAACATCAAAAAGTTCTTTAATAATTTCTTTCCAGTCTCTTCCACTCTCTAATATTTTTCCAATTTGAAACTCTGACCTGGTTGGTTCCATCCCCAACTCATACTCCAATTTTCCCCATCTGCCCCTTTTTTATACTAGTATTTGAGTTTCAGTCAAGTCTTCCCTCACCAGGAAGTACATTTCTTTGAGGTGAAGGACTTCACTGTATATGTCAAGGTTTAGACAGCAATATCACCCAGTAACAGCATCACTGTGACACGCCCAAGGATTCTGAAATTTCAGAACCAAGCCAGTTAGAACGAACTGTTTAATACAGTCTCTCACGCTGATCTGCCAGCCATGGAAACAAAGCCACATTGAAACTACTTAAGACCAGAAGCAGAGGCCAAGAGCTTATTGTACATTCCTACACCTCCCCCTCTGACTCCTTCTCCCTGTCCCCATGAGCCTGACCCCATGGGCCTGTCCCTCCTGAGGCCTCCTCCATAGCTGGACACTGAAATGCCTTTGCTTGCTTTATTTTAAAGGGGTACCATTCTGGGGCTACCTTCTCACGGTCCAGTCTTTGCTTTCCATTTCTCATTTGCTCCAAGATCGAGGATCACCACCACCCCTCCATTTTTTCTACAATTTTCACCCCTAGTTCAGGACGTTTGACAGTTTTGCACAATAGCTAACAGTTCTCTTGTAACTCCTGCATCTTTTCCTTCTTCATCAGGTTGGTAGAAGCCAGCCCTGTTTATTTGATACATGCAACCCTCTTCTCCCTCAAGACTGGCACAGAGGTTGACACCAAGGGGAGCTCTATTGGGGTTAAACAAATACAGAACCCAGAACTGCGTACCTGCCCAGCTTACTGATTTCATACAAGTTCCTCTTCCTGGCAGTGCCACACTCAAGGAGGGCAACGGAAGAAAACACACATAAACTTTGCACTGGGACATGTCCACACTCAACAACCTTTGGCCTGGGAACTCAGCGCTTCAACACCTGGCTTGTAACCCTGAGACTGAACCAGCGGTGGGGGGCGGCGGGGGTGGGGGAGTGGATTGTAACAGGCAGGGGTAACTGGGCCTAGTTCTAACTCCCCTTTTGGCCAATCCTCCTCCAACACATATGTGCAAAAAACTACTACATTCTCATCTGAAGATGAAAATCACTGTTTTCTGGGTTTCACCTTCTACCACCTCAAACCAACCGTGCCAACGTTTTCCCGGTTCACTAGGACCTAGTATAAATGTACTCTTCTATTTGTTCCTATTTTAAGAGGATAATTAACTACCTTATTTTTACAAAAAATGCACAGTGACACAGTCCCGAAGTCCAACCCTCAGACAAAATCAACTGCTAAACATCTGCAGGGCGAAAGGAAAGAAAGAAAGAGAAGACATTGGAGAGGCAACTTTGGGAGCTCTTAGGAAGGCACACGTCAAGGCTGCTGCTCCGCGCTGCTTTCCCGCCCCCTGGCCTGGCTTCCCCGCTCCTTCTCTGCACCCCCTTTCCCCGCCTCCGCGGGCGGGCGCGCCCTCGTGGCCCCGCCCCCCCCCGCCCCAGGCCCCGCCCCTCCGTCTACGTCAGTTGTTATGTCTCGGCTTGGGCCGCGTCCGCTGCTGCTTCTCTGCTCCGGA